AACATGATGAGGCAGACAGTTTGCAAACAGGAATTTAAACCTTTGTAAGAAACTTTGATAAAATACAGACTTGAAATTACTTAATTTATTAAAATCATTTCATCTTTACTTAATAAAGCAAATGAAATTTTCAAATTATATCTATTTAAAAAAACTCATGAAGTGGCAGAAGTATGAAAAATGAAAATCTGAGCTCAGATACAATGGAAGTCAACGAGGGTTTGGATGAAGCACACTGGGTGAAAGAAAACAAATGTTTAGTTGAATAAACTGGAAAATCTAAAGCTTGTTTAGTCTGTTCAGAAATTATGGTGTGACGTTTCTTACGCTCTATGTTTGTAAAAAAAAATCCTCCAAATTAAACTATAATTGAGCAAAAAGTGTTAATTAAAACAGCAGTTCTGTAAAGTAAAGTCCAACTTTCTGTGATCTGTTTAAACTGAATGATCTTTCTGCTGTGAAGTTAGCTGTAGAGGCACTCAGTTCACAGATTATTGTCAAAGGAAAGTTTCAGTTTTTACAGATTTTGTTTACATCGTATTAAAAGTACAAACACCTTATTCCCATTTGAGCTTTGTTTTAATGTATTTTTATGTTAAAACTGACACAAAATCATGAGGGAAACAGAAGGGCAAATAGTAATAACATTTTTTTAATACTATTAGCCACTGATCATCTGTATTAGAGTACCCAGATGTGTCATTCCTGCCCCCTAAAAGAGGCGGGGCACAGAGGCTGAGTACCCGGATGTGTCGCTCCTGCCCCCTAAAGGCAGAAGAGCCCAGAGGCTGAGTACCAGCATGTGTCGCTCCCACCCCCTAAAGGAGGCGGAGCACAGATCCTGAGTATCCGAATGTGTCGCTCCCACCCCCTAAAGGAGGCGGAGCACAGATCCTGAGTATCCGAATGTGTTGCTCCCACCCCCTAAAGGAGGCGGAGCACAGAGGCTGAGTATCCAGACTGAAGAAGTCTTTCAGATGAAAGATGCAACATTTCTAGAATTTTTTTGTTTGTTTTTTTAACGTCTATAGGACCTGACTTAACTTTTTTAGATTTTTCTGCCTGGATTATTGAGCATGCATCAGGATACCCAGATGTGTCACCCCTGCCCCCTAAAGAAGGCGGAGGACAGAGTCTGAGTATCCAAATTAGTCGCTCCCATCCCCTAAAGAAAGTGGAGCACAGATCCTGAGTTCCCGGATGTGTCGCTTCTGCCTCCTAAAGGAAACAGAGGACAAATTCAAAGTAACCAGATCTGTTTCTCAACTCTCAAATGAAGCATCCACATCTTGTTCAACCGAGACTACATTACCAACAGATTTATTGTTTATTTACAGTAGCATTCCTCCTCTCTGTGCTCATGACCCATTGACATGTATCATACTATTTCTATGTAATGTTGATACACTGATCAGAACATTCCTGGCACACTTCCAGCCTCTCCATTGAGTGGCTTTATGTATCAATTAACCAATCATCGTTCCTCACAAGTCGTATATCACCTGTCCCTTAAATGTGAACCAATCAGAAGCACTGTAGAGATGCCGTAAAATATTGTATATAATGTAATCAATCCTGTAACCACAACTGTTGGTGTATCAATTGCCAGATTGATCCTTCGCCTCCAAATAACAGGTAAAACCTTGTCCCCTTTTCATAAAACACATTTCAAAACTAGAACCAAACAGTATTTTCCTCATTGTAAGTAAAATATTATCCATGAAGATCCTTTGTTTAAACAGTTAAATTTGGAGGTAAGCATTAACAATTCCTGTTTTATTGTAGACAGGTAATTCTAATCTTTTGTCTAATTACCGGGTAAATAAAATATCTGAATAAACACCAGATCTCAGACTAGAGGAGACTGATTGACCTCACTTTTCGCCCAAATTATGTTCTCCATTTTGCTACAACACAAAGGAACAAATGTATGGAACGATCTACTAGGATGCATCAGACTGACAGTTGTATACCGTTTTTTTTTTTAAGAACCTTAAAATTTAATTATCTGTTGTGCTAATTCTGGTGCATTTACATTTGTTGAATATAGATTAATGTGCTCTGTCCTTTTTAAATTGATTTTCAGACTCCCTAGTTTTAAAAAGACCTGAGTCTGTGTGCCGGTTAGCTCAGATCGTCCTTCGGCAGAGCTAATCTAAGGAGGCAGTGCCAACCTGGATGTGTGCTGCTAAGAGCGGAGCGTGTTTTTGTGTATGGAGCGTCTGTTTCTCCTCACGTCTACCCTCCCGCCCCGAACAGAGAGGTCTTTATGGTTGTTTGTAGTAGAAGACGGCAGAAAGTTGGCCCTTGGTCAAGACCAGCAGTCTGCAGGTGCTTACTGGAAACGAAGCGAAGGCCCAGCAGACGCTGCCAGCTCCGTCTTTTACAGCCACAGAAAGCAGCTCCTCCACCACTCACTCTCGTTTCATCAGGCTGGAGCGAGTTGACACCCAGAACTGGGTTTTCCTGCAGCTGTCAAAGAAACACTTTGAACAGGAGGAAAAGTTAGTTGAAACCAATTCTTCAACACGTTTCATTTCATCCACAAACATGTCGTGAACCAAACCTGCAGCTGAACCTTCCAAACGTTCAAACCACACGTTTGAAATTTCCTTCGCTCTGAGTGAGCTGCTGAAGTGTTAACTTGTCTTGGATTTGAACCGAGTCGTTCTTTTATCGTATGGTTGTGTTTAAATGTTACTCACTGACAAACGTAGGTGAAGAAAACTGATCTGTGGAGATTAGGTTCTTTCTGGAGTAATCCTCCAGAAAATGAAACCAGTTTCAAAATGAAAAGAAAGTAGATTTATTCTCAGGAGTCAACTGGACCCACCTCAGCTGCCTCTTTTAGATGAGGAGGAGCAGCTCTGCTCCAAACTACCCCTTGAGTCTCCAAAATGTTCAGAGGTTCTCACTTCCCTCACGGGTCTCAGAGGCTCAGCCATGTTGCTCAAATTTTGAACATGTTCAAAAAATTTGTGCAGCAAGTTTTCTCTTGCGGTAGTTGCAGAGTTGTTGCAAGCGTCTCGAACTCTTCTCAGTTTAGCATCTGTAAATTATTGGGCTGTATTTGAACACCTGCGCAGGAGCCGGTCGCAGTCGGGTCGTAGGAAAAGATCACCTGTCACAAGCAGCCAATGAAAAAGAGAGGGTGGGACACAGGAAGTGATGTCAGATGAACATATCTGCAAACTGCAGTAGAATGAGACTAATGACACAAGGAGGAAAACAAATGGATTTGTTTGAGCTCCTACTTTAGTAACCCTCTAAAAAAGAATACCAATTTGAAATCATTTTCCACAGATGTAACTAACTTATACAACTCAATGTTATGTTCCTTTGTCCACACGTGCAAAATGGCCAAGAAATGTCAACAGTTACTTATAAATATTTAATTTCATGATGTAACAAACAATATTTTTTCTGTATTGCATGTAGCATTTATACACCACATAGAGTTGTCATCTTTATTGAGTAATTTGATTTACTGTACTTTCCAGCGTATAAGTCGAGTTTTTGCATAAATTAGCATGCCTGAGACTTATACAGCGAAGCGACGTATTTATGTTTTTCCCCATATTTATAACTCAATTTTTGGCAGAGATCTGACGATTTCATTCATTCTGACGTGGAAAATATTGAACACTACCATTTTCAGCCACTAGAGTGTTCTCGACTAATATGGCAAGCCAAGTGTCTCATTAATAGGTAAAAGCGGTTATTAACGAGACACTCGGCTTGCCATAAAAAGCCACCTTTGTCTCACTCTGGAATTCCTGGAGCAAACGTCAAATCATCTGGATTTTGCCGTGCCGTCCAGGAGAAATGCAGCTGATTTGACCATTAAAGTGCATTTATTAAGGAAATTTAGACTGAGACACACCTTTACTATAATTTCGAGCAAACAAATAATTTTTTTAATGTGGTTATCTTTTTAAATTTCAAAGAAATGCGCAGCGAGTCGTCCCTCTGCACGCTCCTGCTTCTTCATATCGGCTTTTGAAATGCAGCAAATTTGACCGTCAACGTGCATTTATTAAGAACATTTAGACTGAGACACACCTTTACTATAATTTCGAGCAAACAAATAATAGTTTTAAAGTGTTAATCTTGTTAAATTCTTGTTAAACTCCTCCCTTGCACACTCCCGCGGCCTCCATTTGGCAGCCAATCGATTTTTGGCACAACACCGGCCCACATTTCCAGATTGTCGCATAATAGATGCGACTTATATGACGGTGCAACAGGTACAATGGAAAATACGGTACTGGCAGGAACGTCTCTTCTGGTTGTAAATGTTGCAGACGTTTGGTCCAACACTTCAATAAGAAGGAAACTAAAGGTCTACATAAATGTTTTCCTGATGATCTGGACTCTCTGGTCTGATGGTTCGGATCATTTCTTCAGATGAACCCTACAGAGCCTTCTCTACCTTGGTGGTAACAGTTGTAACTTGAGCTTCTCTGAAAGTGTTCGCTCTTCTCTCTGAAGAAGTTACAGGCTGCCGGTCAGTGCTGAAGCCAGAAGTTCTCGAATCCCGTCAAAGAGGTCCATCAGAGCAGATCTGAGCTCCTAGAGACCTTCAGGATTAACAACACTCACAGTTCTGTGCTCCTGCAAGAAGGTCTGCCAATTACCTGCCAGAGAGGACAAATTTACAGCCGAGGCCGATCTGACAGAGAACTTCAGACAAAACTTTTAGCCACAGGTGATTTCAGGTTTTCAGGCATCCGGTGTCTGATCATGATGTGAGGGGGGCCTTGTTTTTACCCACCCAACACACAAAGTATACTTTACATGTCTTCTTAGCGTCGCAGTTGGAAGCTATCAGTCCTGGCTTGTTTGTAGCTTTAGGGCTTTAATAGGAAAAGGGATTATTATGTATTAGCTGTGAGACTGTGGGACGGAGGGGGTGTAAAGTAGACAGAGTCTGCGGTCTTTGAACGCACCAGCACAGATCACAGAGCAAGTTTGTCTAACTCTTCACCTTCTCTTCACAGGCCTCCAGGACTGACAGGAAGTCCAGTCATCTCAGATATCTCTCTGATCCGACTGTCCCCCCACGCAGCGGTCGGGACGGGCGAGTCACCGTTCAGCCCCCCGCACCCTTACGTCAGCCCCCACATGGAGCACTACCTCCGCTCGGTGCACAGCAGCCCCACCCTGTCCATGATCTCAGCTGCACGAGGACTGAGCCCAGCTGACGGTAAGAGAACCACCACCAGAACAACAAGACGCACTGTTGGCCATCTTTTTCCCAGCATGCAACTGGCCAATCACAACTCAAATCGGTAGCAAGAAAGATTAGAAATTATAATTAAAGATGGACTAAACATTGGATATTATGTCCAAAAGGTCAAGTGGGAGGAGCTTCCCACAGCTGTTACTGGTATTTAAAAAAAATCTTAAACTTGAATCCCCTTGTGGCTGAAATTACTAAGTTTTTATGTAACGGGTGAACGTTGTCGATTCAAAATGCACAACTAAGAAGTTTGTCAGGAGAAAAGCGGAACATTTTAGAGTGACCATCTTAAACCCTGCTGAGATGTATTTTACCTTCCAGAGGGGAGACTGATGGGAAACATCCTCTAAAACTAAAACTGGAAAGTGCTGCCGGCCAAAGTCTAAACTGCATCAGAGAGGAAGACGACAAAGCTTTGGTGGCATCATCAGTTCACAAGTTTAATTCAGTGGATTTTAGTCCACTCTAAACGTTTTATAGACGCCATCGTGAGGCCTGTCACGATAACAAATTTTGCTGGACGATTAATTGTCTCAGAAATTATTGCGATAAACGATAATATTGTTTGAAATTTGACAATAATTAGTAATCACATTAGTTTTGGTCACAGCTTAAAAGGGTCACAGATTAAAGACGAAAGAGCCATGTGTGGCCCCAGAGCCGCAGGTTGCAGACCCCTGTGTTAGACTTTTAGAAGCATGGTAAGTTTTGGGACATTTCAAAGTCAAAGTTTCTTTATTTGTCATGTGGTACATGTGGTGGAACAAAATTGTGTACACAGGGTCCCAGTTGCATCCAACAAAATTATAAAATAAAAACGGTAATAAGATCTAAGATATGAACTAAGAAAAACGTTCAACTAAAAATAATAATAATAATAAATCTAGACACCGTTTCTTGTTCGACCTACATGTTTTCAGCGCTCAGCAAAAATAACTTCATTAACCTTCCTGCTTGCTGAGCGTTAAACTGTATATTTAAAGAACAATCATACTAATTATCTCTGGAACCCCCCCCCCCCCATGTGTCTTATGATAGAAAGAGTGGATAAAACAGATGCAGAGGATTTCACTGCAAACGATGAAAGTAGTGAAGCTGCTTGGAGCAGCCGACAGGAGGAAGAGCTGATGTGTAATGTTGTTTCTGCTCGACTGCGGCTCACTGACAGCAGAGACACTCGGGTCACGCTGCTGATTCCTCAGCCAGCTGGGATAATTGCTCTGCAGACAGAACATCATGAAGGACGCCTTTCATCGAGGAGACTTTCACGACTCCATCACTTTGTTTGAATTGTAGTCGTGTTGACACGGTTGAAACAACAGTCTGCAGAAGACGGGAGTCAATAAATTCGTAGAAACCTGCTGCCGTTTTCCTAAAACACGGAGAAGATGCTGCTGCTGATAAAGTGACGGAGGAGTTCTGACCCAAACCACAGGCCTCTGCAGCTTCGCTTGGAGCTCGGTGGAGCATGAGTAAACGTCTGACATGGATACCTTGGAGCCAGGCATGTGGTGGAGGTTGTTCCTGGAGGCTTTAGAGCTTGTTTTATTTATTTTAATGTTTATTTTTTTACACTGTTGTTCTGAGGCAGCGGGAGCGTGGAGTACCACTAAAGGTAGCTGCGCCTTTTGTTGCCGTCCCTGTGAGCCGGGTGTCTGATCAACCAGTGAGCCGTGCAGCCACAATTTGAAAAAACACTTTTTATCTTGCTAAACTGTATTCCAGGCCTTGCACGTTGTTTTATTGCCCACTCTGTACCCATCTTGGCAGCCTTCCCATGCTTTATGACCTAATCTATGGGATTACACTTTACACATGATGAAAGGCAAGTTTGGATCAGGTTTTTTTTTTCCACAATGATGTGATCACTGACTCACTGTTCACACTTTGGTTCTTTGTTTTGGTTTTGCATTCAAACTTCTGCATGCTTTGCTTTTTGTAGCCGTTCATACGTCAAAATGTTCGGCTCATTCAGCAGACGGGTGCTCTGACGTTACTTTAGTACTTATTAAAATATTTAACCTTGTTGCAAATATGTTCCCCATAGAAATGCATTGAAGTCCAGTTCCTTCAGACACATTATCTTTGAAACCTCTTCACAGTTCACACAGCAGTTTGGCCCTTCATGTGATTTCTTGAGCCGGACCTCTGAGGCTGCAGCCTCAGCTGTTTTCTGTCAAACTGCCGCGCTAACGTTTGAGAATTACAGAAACCAAAGTGAGATGAGTTTGACATGCCTGAATATTTTGGTAATGTTTGGAAACATGTTTAAAATTCACCTAAACTGCGAGCCTTCGAGTCCTGAGGGAACACGATGGAGTTTGGAAACGTTCTGGAGACACATATCCTGATGCATGCTCAAAAATTCAGGTAGAAAAATAAAAAAAAAGTTAAGTTTGGTCCTCTAGACATTCAAAAAAAACAAAACAAAAAAATGTAGAAACGTTTCATCTTTCATCCAAAAGACTTCTTAAGTCTGAGGTGCTGTATTCAGCATCCTGGAGGCTCAGGGTTGACCATTTTGGCCTTGGTGTCCTCAGACTGTTTCTGTGCGTTGGCCACGTGGCCTAAAACAGTTGATTGTTAAGCATGATGACTGATTGTTTTGCCCGGATGGTCCCTGTTTTGCATGTGTTAAAGCCAGTATCTGTAATTGCAACAGGAAGTTGGCTTAAAACACATCATTGAGGGCTAGGACAGATCTGGGTTGGCAGGCCGCAGACTGATTTCGTCTTTTGGATGAAAGACGAAACGTTTCTCCCTAAAAGAAACTTGTCCAGATGAAATGATTATTCTGGAGACTCCTTCATGTATGCAGTTGCAGCTCAGCTATTCAGTTCAATTCAGCCTTTATTTCTACAGGCTGGTCTCATTGCGCCTCAAAGACTCATTTACAAGAGAGACCTGTTTTAAACAAAGAATGCTGACAACAGAAGACAATCATACAAAAGAATATAAATTGAAAAATAAATGGAAGAAAAAATATATAAACCTAAACAAAAACTTTTATTAAACGATATAAAATACTGAAAACAGGAACATGTCTGCATTGGTTTTGCCAGGAACTTAACAGATGTTTGAAACCCCTTAGAGAGGTCAAGGTTGAGAGCTTCAGGTCTTTTTGCAAGATATTCCAGGAAACAGGAGCGGAGTAGGAGAAGGTCCTTTTTGCCAAGTTGAGTTCTCACTGAGTTCTCACTGCAGGTAATAATGTCCTGAGAGCGCACGCTGTAGCTGCACTCATGCAGAGACATGTAGGAGACAGGGCAGCCGACTCGGGACTCAAAGGTCCTGGGTTCGATCCCCAGTTACTGCACATCTCATGGTGTCTCTGAGCAGGACACCCAATCCCAAATTGCTCCCCGAGTGCTGACATAGCTGCCCACTGCTCCACCTGGTGTATCCCAGGTGCAATGGGTTAAATGCAGAAAGCCGATTTTGTCTTTGTATGGGAACATGATGACAACACATAGCACTTTATTTATTATTATTACGTATGGCGGCAACAGACCAAGAAGTGATTTAAAGATGAAAATGTACCAGTGAGAGTCTATGTGAAGTTAATGATGTCCAGTTAACCAGTGAATACTGGGTGCAGTGGTGGGTATTGTAGTTACAGCCAGTTATGAATCTTAGTGCACCGTGATAGACAGCATCCAACATCTGCAGGGTGCTTGTAGGAGCATTCATTTAAATAATGTCACCATAGTCCATGGAGAGAAGTAAAGTCACAGATACAAGGCGTTTCCTAACATTCAGAGTTAGACTGGATCTATTTCTGAAAAAGAAACCCAGTTTAACTTTTGGTTTCTTTACCAAGTTTTCGACATGAGGCTTTAATGAGAGATGCAAATCGACCAAGATACCCAAATATTTATAGGAATCAACAAACTCAGTAGGGACACCATTTAAAGATAAAATAGAAGGAAGAACTGCTGGGACCGACTTCCTGTTTGAAAACAGCATCGCTTTGGTTTAATCAACATTTAGCACCAGTTTGAGACGGAACAAATCTGACTGGATGATGTCGAATGCAGAGCTGGAAAACCTTAGCAACTGATTTAGCTCAACAATAAACAACTGTGTCATCAGCATAGAAATGTAAGGATGCATCAGGGATGCTCTGACCTACATTATTTATGTAGATTGTGAAGAGGGTGGGCCCTAAGACTAAACCTTGTGGTACACCATTGTTGATTGAGCTAGATTCCACCTTTGAGACTTCAAACCTCTCACCTGGTCACCTTTTGACCTCCTGTTGTTTCACTGTTGGAGGAGAACTTGAGCAGTAAAGTTTGAGCCACACTTCTACTTATTTATTTTTACTTGCAAGGGCCTGTGAGAGATTAGCTGCGACCCTCGTCCCTTGATTTTTATGAGTGAAGTCGTTCCCAAACATCCAGAAACAAACAGTTTGTCGAACACGAAGAAACACACAGACGCCTGCCACCCGTCCCGCCGGCCCAGCTCTAATAGTTTCTGATGGACCCGGGGTTTTCCTCATATGTCTGTGTGCAGAGCCGAGAAGGAGGCTCTGGTTTTCCTCCCCAAATATCCCAACCCCCACCTCCCTGGTGTTGCATATTAATACACGGTCACCCCTCCCCGTCTCACAGGAAATGTGGGGGGGACCGCAGGAAGGAGTTAATCCATCTCTCCCTCATAGTTTGTGACATTTTAAATGCAGCTTTACTGCCTACAGGTGTTAACACATTTTATGTCAATATTGCCGTTGCTCACGCCGTCTTTAAGGTTTATTACGAGTGTTTGTATGTGAGCACCTGCACGCTGAGTGACTTCATCCTGTCAGAAACGTGCACGCTCTGCGAGAGGAGTGCAGGAATGCGGCCCTCCTCCCCCAACCCCGTGTTTTTACCCTGCTCGCTTTCTTTCTGTAGTCCCTGGAGATTTTTTTCCAACAAGCCTCAAAGACATCAGACATCTTTTATCAAAAGCCTCGTGCCCCGGGGCACGCAGGCATGCACAGATCTCTAAATCTGCAAAGCAGGGCGCTCGTGTTCTCTGCCGAGTCCTTGCAACGGCTCCGTTCCTGCTTTTGTTTTTACTTTCACTCAGATTATGTCCGTGGACGTGTTTGAGGAGAGGAGAATAACGACCAAATCTGCATTTTTTAAGTCCTTCTGAGTCTAAATTACATTTAAATTTAGAGCTTCTGTTGTAGGGACGCACATTGCATCGTCACAGGTGTTTAATACTTGTGTTACACCCAAGTGCCAAAAGAAAACCCAGACTTAATAACTGCAAGTGGCACACAACACAGAAAACCACAAAACTACTAAAAAAAAACCCTCTTTAAATCCTGGTGCAGAAATGTGGAATTACAGCGAACATTCATCTCAGGCTTGGTTTTCTAAATGTTCCCGATGTATTAACAGTTTAAATATCAGCAAATTTGACTTTTGGACAGATTTAAATGTGTGCTGATTCCCTGGTAGATCACAAAAGGTCCAAACATATTTATTTAAAATAATTGTCACATCTTAGTCTTGCCTCCTCTGGGGTCTGATCCACGCGGTGCTGAGTTGAAGTTGTGCAGGACAAAGCAGAAGGTTCCAGTTCTTTGTCCAGTTTCGTCAGTATTGTTGGTCAGGAATCAGTTCCATCTTCAAAATGAGAACCAGTGGGGTTGGTTTGTTAACCTCTGGATGTTGCGTTTTTTTTAGAAACAGTCATGCCTGGTAGTCATTACTGAAACAGAGGATGAATTATTTCTTTCCTGACCTCTTACTGTGAAGGCAGCGGTGCAGCAGCTTGCTCCTTTTCTTCTGTTTCAGTCACACAGCCGTGCCAGTTGACTTTAACACAAATGGCTATAACTCGGTCAGTTTTGTGGATACTGAGCTAAAACGTGGTGTGGTTGTAGCTGAAGGTCATCTCTAACACAAGCTCTGAGCTCTTACTGATCACTTGAGATTTTTGCTTAAAGCCTGTAGGTTTAGTCACTCTGGTGGAGTGTTGAAGTAGTAGATCAGAGGAAAACATTATTTATTTTATTAATGAACCTTTATTTAACCAGGCAAATCCCATTGAGATCACAGATCTCTTATGCAAGGGAGGCCTGAAGGCAGCCTCACATGCATGTTTTTAGTCTGTGAGAGGAAACTGGAGCACCCGGAGAAAACCCACGCAAGCACAAGAACATACAAAACTCCACACAGAAAGACTCCAGGTCCAACTGGGGATTGAACCAAGGACCTTCTTGCTGTGATGCAACAGTGCTAACCACTGAGCCATCGCGTTGCATAAGTTAAGATAAGATAGGACTTTATTGATCCCGCAGGAAATTGTTGCATTCATTCCCTTTAAACGTTGGACTGAGAAATGATTTTAAAAGTTTTCTTTCTGGTTGAGTGTCTGTCTTACACTATCAGCAGAAATACTCACAGACGTTTTTGTTGGATAAAATAAAAATCCTTTCATCATCTCTATTTATTTAAATAAGCCACTATGAGGACATGAGAAGATCTTTATAACCGGTCTTTACTTGCAAGGGTACGCGGTCACGAGGAAACTTTCACAGATGTACAAACGTTACAAGCTTTGAACCTCGTCGGTGAGAGTCTGCGCCGGACAGTGAGGCAGGAAGTGTTTTATAAGACGCTTACCAAACAGAGGCGAGGCCAAGACGATCTTTGCTTTCCCTCTTACAGACTCGGAGAAGGCCTTGGGGTTTATCAGGTGGACCTCGGTCCGCCTGCAGGCTCCTCTCTGAGCAGACAAAACTCTCTAACTCACACACATTCATTTAACATTAGTTAGTGATGAACATCCAGAAGCTTTACCTAAATTCCCCTGACGGTTTTTATCTGTGTTTTGTTGCAGTGACCCACGAGCATTTAAAGGAGCGAGCCCTGTTCAGTTTCCCCCCTCCACCTCCGGGAGCTAACCCCTCCGAGTATTACCACCTGATGGCCAGCGCCAGCCAGAGGAGCCCCTACGGAGACCTGCTGATGCAGAACGGTGCCGCGGCCGCAGCTGCTGCTGCGGCAGCAGCTCATCTCCCAGATTACCTCGGTCCTGTGGACGGTGAGGACGACACCGCACATGTCAGACATGCTGACAGAATCACATTGTAAAACACAAGAGTTCTTTGAGTCTTCATCCAGTTTTAGTTTTCATCCGAGACAGATTTTTATATTTCTTAATGTGAGCATCTTCTTGAGTCTAGATTATCAGAAAAAAAAAAAAAAAACGATGGATGTTTGAGTTTCAGTCTGCTGCTGGTATGAGTACCATCCTTCAAAACATGCTCAGAGTATTAAAACACCAGGGAAGACATGGTTTTGTGTCCCTGCTCTCCTCGTCTCTGCTCTGGGTGTCCAGGAGATGTTGAACCAGCTTGTTAAAGACGTGAGGCTGACACAGAATCTTCAATGTCATCCAGAAGACCACATTCAGACCCTCAGACTCGTGTTTGCACACCGACTCACAGAGACCGGCCTGTTCTGGCCTCCCCTCTTTCACCGAATGACAGCCAGGCTCTGGACCAGAAACCCCTCAGAGTCCAGAACAGTCGGCCCTTTTCGATGCTTGATATGGCCTAGCTCCTTCAAACCCCCCCTCTCAGTGTTTCATCCTGTCAAACCACCCAAACCTGCTTCACTGTCAAACTCTGCAAACCCCAACCGTCTCAGATTGGATTACATGTCCATTAATCTTCTAAATTGCCTCCATCGCAAGTTTAAACACAGCAGCAGTGAATGAGGAGCCTTGGCCTTCTTAATCTCCTCCACCTCCAACCACCTCGGTGACCGCCGCTGGCCTGCTGGCCCACACTTGTTTAGGGTGGTTGTTTGCTCGTGTAGCTCTAACCTTCGTCACCCCAAAGTCCACACTCGCTGCCACCATCCTTCTCCGAATGATGTGGTCAGGAGCGGACCACTCCGCCGGTCTGAAGGCTCTTCCATCGCGGCCTCCACACACAGAGAACATATTGACCCGGGCAGCTCGCTAATGGTGGTTGTGGGCCGCCTCGGGCCGAATCAAAGAACCCATTTATGGCCAGAGCGAGGCAGGAGCGGCGGTGAAGGTGGTAAATATGTGCTGCACGCATCCCTAACTGTTTGTTTTGGGTGAACGCATGGATAAATAACGTATTAAAACCAATTTTTGCATTAATATTTAGCAGACCCACCGCAAGAACTGGAAGCCCTCGCTGAACCCAGACCTCTCCCCACTCAGACCCTGTTTTCAGTCCGGATCAGTAAAATTTAAGGCTCGGGCCATGAAACACTAAGTGCTGCTGTGAGGGGAGAGCTTGTGGAAAAGTTTCAGATGGTTCTTGACAGGACTTTTGGCTCTCTGGTCCAGTAAATGACAGGATTTTTTCAGTTTGGTTTACCTGAAACCAGACCCTGTAACACAAACATTTAGAGTTACAGTTTCACAACAAATGTGCTTTGTCTCTTTTCATCCACAGATTTACAGCTCAGTTCATCTTTAGTTTTCATTTGTTTCAAAGTTTTTGATTTAGCTGTAACAGTCCACACTTTTTCAAATTTATAAATGTATGTATTTGGACATAATGATCAGATTTTATGTCCTAATGTCTAAACCCTTAAAAGAAGGAAGGACTTTTTTTTATATTATTGGCAAGATCTTTTGTCATTCAACCTTTATTTAGACAGGTTAATCCCATTGAGCCTCAAGGACTCATTTACAAGAGACCTGATTTCAACAAAGAGTGATGACAACAATGAACAACAGCAACAACAATAGACAGTTATAAAAGAGGCATACAGATTTTTTTTATATAAATTAAAATAAGATGGCAACTTGGTCAGCGGGACTCAGAGAACCAGAATTGCCTCTGATGGTCTTAATGGACACATGTTTGAGGCAAACGCTGATCTGCAGAACCATGAGGTGACCTACCACAAGTTCAAGCTCGTCCCTGAGGATGTTCAGAGCGAGAACTGCTTCACCAACGTCTATGACGTGGACCTGATGTGCTCCATGGTCAAGAAGAGGCAGACCATGGGTTCACAAAGGAGGCTGGAAGACATGCTGGTTCTGCATGCCGGGTGACACTTGAGCCAAGTTACAAACAACTGAAGAGACCCCGTCCAGGAGATTGTCTAAAACAGGGATGCCCAATATGTCGATAGCGATCTACTGGTTGATCTCAAAGGTTTCATGGGTAGATCGCATAGCATTAAAAAAAACAGACGTCAACCGATCATCCATGTATGAAATTTGTCTCATGATTGACAGACAGGACAGTCAGTCTGAGGCTCCGTTCACACGATGTGCAACGTTCGGCCGTTCATTTACAGACAACGTCCTCATCCTCTCTGAATCCAAAGACTTCTGAATCCAGGTCTCAGAGTGGAGATTTTCAGGGGAACCTCCCACGGAGGGGTGAAATGCTCCGTCGCACATGCGCACGCCAGGCGGCTGCAGTCCTAAGTTTTTTTTAACAACAGTTATAATAAATAACAGTTGTAATAAATAACAACAGTTATAATAAATATAACAATAGTTATAATAAATATAATAACTGTTATAATAAATATAACAACCCTTATAATAAATAACAACCGTTATAATAAATGTAACAATAGTTATAATAAATATAACAACTGTTATAATAAATAACAGTTATAATCAATAACAGTTATAATATATAACAACAGTTATAATAAATAACAGTTATAATAAATATAACAACTGTTATAATAAATAACGTTATAATAAATATAACAACAGTTTAATAAATATAACAACTATTATAATAAATAACAACAGTTATAATAAATATAACAACAGTTATAATAAATAACAGTTATAATAAATAACAGTTATAATAAATAACAGTTATAATAAATAACAGTTATAATAAATAACAACAGTTATAATAAATAACAACAGTTATAATAAATATAACAACAGTTTAATAAATATAACGACTGTTATAATAAATATAACAACAGTTATAATAAATATAACAACAGTTATAATAAATATAACAACAGTTATAATAAATAACAGTTATAATAAATAACAGCAGTTATAATAAATAACAACAGTTATAATAAATATAACAACCCTTATAATAAATAACAACAGTTATAATAAATAACGTTATAATAAATATAACAACAGTTTAATAAATATAACAACTATTATAATAAATATAACAACAGTTATAATAAATATAACAACAGTTATAATAAATAGCAGTTATAATAAATATAACAACAGTTATAATAAATAACAGTTATAATAAATAACAGTTATAATAAATATAACAACTGTTATAATAAATATAACAACAGTTATAATAAATATAACAACAGTTATAATAAATAACAGTTATAATAAATAACAGTTATAATAAATATAACAACAGTTTAATAAATATAACAACTATTATAATAAATAATAACAGTTATAATAAATATAACAACAGTTATAATAAATATAACAACAGTTATAATAAATATAACAGTTATAATAAATAACAGTTATAATAAATAACAGTTATAATAAATAACAACAGTTATAATAAATAACAACAGTTTAATAAATATAACAACTGTTATAATAAATATAACAACAGTTATAATAAATAACAGTTATAATAAATATAACAACAGTTATAATAAATAACAGTTATAATAAACATAACAACAATTATAATAAATAACAACAGTTATAATAAATACAACAACAGTTATAATAAATAACAACAGTTATAATAAATATAACAACAATTATAATAAATAACAACAGTTATAATAAATACAACAACAGTTATAATAAATATAACAACAGTTATAATAAATGTCATAGAGCAGAGTGTTTTTGTGCTGCTCACCTTTTTCAGCATGTAGGAGCAAAACTAATAAAATCCAGGCTCCAGAGAGACGTTAGTGTTTTCACCAGTTTGGACGTCACTGTCATGCAGATGCTGCATGTACGATGAATGTAGATGAGCCCTGCATCAGGGTTGCCGTATAAATTTAAAACGTCTTATTGACCCCCTCCTTTTCTGTGCACGTGTTCAACAAACACAACACACAACTCATCTTAGAATATCTTTACTCAGCACTTTTGACAGTTTAGGTCATAATACTATCATATTAAAGCCACAGTACTATAGTTCATAAGTTCTTCTCTGGCAACCCAGCTGACATAGAAACTACAGTGTTTTCATGTAAAACCACTCATTTTTTGTTTATTACCCCCAAATAACATTGAAAAAACACTAATGTTTCTAGAGGTGGTTGTTTGTAAATGGGGCCTTCTTCTTGTGTGTTTGTCTTACACTATCAGCAGAAGTTGGATAAAATAAATATCCTTTATTTATCTTTATTTATTTAAATAAACCCCTCTGAGGACACGAGAAGATTTTTATAACCAGTCTTTACTTGCAAGGGTAGACGGTCACGAGGAAACTTTCACAGATGTACAAAAGTTACATGCTTTGAGCGTGGTAGATCACTTTGACAAGTTCAAGTCAATTTTATTGTCATTTCCATCACATGTGGTACATGAGATAGAACAAAATTATGTGCACAGGGTCCCAGTTTCACCCAAAATAGTAAAATATTAAGTATAAAAGAAATAGTAAATAAGGATCTACGATATACACTGACTTGACTTGGTCATTTTAAAAGAAGCTCGCATGATGAAAAAGTCTGGTCACCCCGATCTAAAACATCCCACGGCTGTCACCACGTCGTTCTGACAAAAACACTCGGCTCGTTGATTTTCATCAATTTATTACCAAAAACAAACACTGAGCAGAAAATCTAAAGGATGAGGCGATTCCATAAGCAGCGCTGAACGAGCCTGGCCTTTATTTTTCCCACGTACATTAAACACTTAGATCCTCATAAGTACTCAACCACGCTTACAAAAACAAAAACTTAAATGACGCAGAATAAACGAGCAGACGTTGAGCTATGACTAGCATTAGCATTGATTTGTGTTACTAAAGCGGCGTTCTGTTTTTTACCAATGGGAGGCATTCAGGAGGCTGTTTGTGTATAAATGAGCAGGTATGTGAGGGGTGGGTGGGCAGAAGAATATCAGAGGGGTTTGTGGGAGGAAAAAAAAAAGCTCCCACGACAAAAGCAGCGGCCAAAGTAAATGTCTGCCCTCCTGCAAGGAGAAGGAGGTGTTTGTGTTCGTGCAGCAGAGGGAGTGAGGGATCTGATGTGGTGGTGGGGGGTGTGGAGGGGGTGCCGGTCCCCTCCGACTGCACACACAAACACTTAACTATATGTTAGTTCATGAGCACATTGGTGGAAGTGTGTGCATAAACACGGCTGCAAGCACAACGGCGGCTTTCGCTCCGACACTGGAGGCTCACAGAGGATCCGCCGGGCCTCGGCTAATAAGATCTACAGTGTTAGCATTAAAGACAGTTAGCTGGGAAAACAAACAGCTGCTCGCCCTTCACCGGACGACGCGCTGGATAAACACCAGGAGGCACAAAGTCCGCTGCAGGTCGACTTATCCTGCAGAAAAACTGTTTCTGTTTCATCTCATGGAGGTTTCAGTCAAAGATCGAACTCGGGGAGCAGAGAAAGATGGTCGTTTCTTTTAAATTCACCAGATTAGCAACTAATAAGAACCATGGGGGGGTTAAATCAAATGGCACTCATGTCAAAGTAGTGATGAGCCTGATGAAGATATTTATTGTTAATATTAGAATAGAATAGGCCTTTAATGTCATTGCACCTAATTACAACAAAATTAGGGTTTGCTTCCCAGAGCACAAGTGAAAACATGATATGTACAATACAGTGTATGTACTTTGTATTAGGGATGCACGATATTGGATTTTTGATACAGTATATGTACTTTGTATTAGGGATGCACGATATTGGATTTTTGGCCGATATGTCGATATGTTAAAACTTATTTGGCCGATAACCGATACCAGTACAGATATTTTATATACTTTCCTTTGTCAGAACACAGCTCTCTTATTTAGGCTTATTTGCTACAAAAATTGTGTAACAGCTGTAAGAGCTGGTGACATATTCAATAACAGCCATATGATATGCATATCACTTTAACTTGTATTAAATGAAAAGTGTTAAATGTTATTTATTAGCATTAGTCACCTGCGGTGCTGTCTCACTTGTGCAGGCTTGTTCCAGGTTCCTATAGCTGCAGTGTGGGATCCTCTGCACTCCTGTGCATGAAGGACAGACTTTTTAAGCTCAAAGTTTTTGTCTATCCATTGTGTCATAAGACTAATCATGCTAAGTTTTGTTATTTGTTTGTTTTTAAATTGGAAAAGTGTCAATTTCAGGAGGGTTTGTATTTTTTGGTTAGTTCTTGGTCGTCTTTTGTCTTTATTGTTAGGTTTATTCCATTATGTTTAGTTGTTGTTTTGTTTTTTTATGCTTTACAACAAAAGGGTGGCAGCACAGGTCAAAGGAAGAGTTTACGAGACAGTGGTGAGACCAGCTATGCTGTACGGTCTGGAGACAGAGACATGGACAAAAAGACAGGAGACAGAAAAGGACGTGGCAGAAATGAATATGTTGAGGTTCTTCTTAGGAGTGACAAGGATGGATAAGATTAGGAATGAGATCATCGGAGGTACAGCACAGGTTGGACAACTGGGAGATGAAGTCAGAGAGACCAGACTGAGATGGTTTGGACATGTCCAGAGGAGGGACAGTGGGTATATTGGTAGAAGGATGTTAGAAATGCAGCTGCCATAAAAAAGACAAAGAGGAGACATATGGATGAACATGGAGGTAGTTGGAGTGAGGACAGAGGACAGAGTGAGACGGAGGAGGACTCTGGGGACCCATGAAGAGGGACTCTTCAAAGTTTCTCCAGAAACGTTCCAGTTTAAGAATCGTTCTCGTCAAGTGAAACAGGTTTTGTGTGTGAAAAGAAATGTTGCGAACACAAACATGGACCTTGAGGAGACATTTTGCTCTCGTGTCGTCGTGTTAATTTGTTATTAAACGTGCGTTTTAACTTTGTGTTGGATCAAGAGCCCAGAGCTGCAGATTTATAACGAGTGTCATCAGGAAATGATTGCACAGCAGAAACTTGACTCTCGGGCCGGGACGACACTCGAGCTCAAACCTCAAATTAAAGTGTTTTCAATTTTCACCAAGTGAGTTTCTCTTCGAGCTGCAGAAGCAAACACTTGAAGTAATCACACACACACACACACACACTTCTCACTGCGGTCCTTTTCAAATATTGTTCTTTTTCTTCTCTCAGCTGTATCAGTGTGTTCTGGAGCGCTTGTAATTACGCCTCTCTATATAAATCCAGATCCCACAATTGCAGCCAGCCGATGATTCGGTCTCACAGCGCGACAACACACACACACACTGCGTCGCCACGGCCTGAGCAACATCTGGTTTCTCTCTCCCTGCCGGAACCTGCTCACTCTTTTCAATTATAGCCTCCACCTTTAACGCGCTGGTCGTCCGCGAGGGATGAGTCGCGTTGGCGGGGGGTTGTTCCTCCGAACGACAGAGAGGAGCGAAACCGCCTCGGCTGCACCTTGAAGAGGGACTCCTTTGAGCCGAGCTTCTTGTATACATGGCGATGACGGTGTAAAGATGGAGGAGGGGTGGTGGTGTGTGGGCACCGTGCCCAGAGGGGTGAGGCAGGCGCCAGCCGTCCAGGCCACCAGGTTGAGGGGCCTGTTTCCTGCTTTATAAAGGGGTGTATTAATACACACGTCTATTAAACTTGTTGGCAGACTGCAAGTTAAACCTTATTGTAAAAATAAATTACTAATGCTGCAAGACATGTGTTCATGATGGCCCCTCCTCCCTGCTTTGCTCTTTCCGCCCCTCCATGAAAACACGACTTATTATTTATTAAAGGTGCTCCACAGACACTTGTTGTTCTGCCAGCCCTTTGATCCACAACCTATCATTTTCACCAGTCTTGTATTTTCCTTCGGACCCCAAGCCGTAGCCGTCTGAAAGCCCGGCGGGCGTTTTAACTGAGTGCACGTGTCCGTACTTTACGACTCGCCACCTCCAAACGCGCAGCTCTGGAAGTCGGGCGCTGCTTTATGGCTGCAGGTCTGGTGCTGCCATTAGAACGCCGCCGGAATCGATTTAACTGGAGGGGTTGTGAGTCCTGCCAGCGCCTAACGGAGGACCGGCTGCATGCTGACATCAGCGTGTGTGAAGGTGAGCGCTGATGGGGCCGTTAAGGGTTTCCTGCTGCTCACACTTCTGATGACGTCTGTTTTCAAACCAAACAGCAGCACCTGTTGGACAATTTATATATTTTCTCGAGTTTTTGAGTCCCCGACAGTTGCAGTTCAGTGGAGCTCTGGGTTTCTCCTGCAGCCTTTCAAAACAAGCCTTGACCTTTGACCTTTAACGTGCTGACTAAAGCCTGTAGTGTCTGAGATGCAGCTCATTTCTCTGAGCACTGCATGGTCTGACCTTCAGGGTGAATCTGCTGTCAGCTTAAATGTTTTCTACTTGTGAATAACATTTCCCTGTACAGTAGTCCCTCAATACTTCGCGGTTCGTTTTTTTAAATTTTAAATTATTTAGTGCCTGCTGCACATTTGTGCAACCCTTACTGCAGGATAAACTTCCTGCTGCAGCTGATCAGCTGTTCACTGTGCAGAGCGGAGAAGTGGGCGTGGCCTAGAGCGCTTGCAGGTGGCAAAGAGCAGAGGAGGCAGAGAGCTGCAATCATGA